GGGCTCGATCCCAGGACCCTGGGATCATGACCTGAGCCGAAGGCAGACGCTTAACGACTGAGCCACCCAGGCGCCCCTCTTTTTCTTTTTTTAAGTGAAAATATTTTGAGTGATTATAGGCTCCATCAGTTAGGGTAGTTATGCAGATCAGAAAATGGCTGCCAAGGAAGTCATGCCCTGGCCTGGAATTGGTTAAGCAGAAGCCAGACGATAGGGGATATTTAGAGAGAATTAACATTTTATGTATGGATTTCATTAGATGAATCCCAGGGTTCCAACTCTAGTTCTGTGATGTTATCATTTTATTTCTTTCTTTATATAAAAGGTACTTCACTCTCCATACATACCAGACGGCTCTGGCTGAGACCTCTTCAGTGGCACCTTTTCCACTTGCCCCACACCTTTTTTGTCTTTAAGACAGGAGCCAAGGGGCGCCTGGGTGGCTCAGTCGGTTAAATGTCTGCCTTCGGCGCAGGTCATGATCCCAGGGTCCTGGGATCGATCCCCGCAGTGGGCTCCCTGCTCAGTGGGGAGTCTACTTCGTCTCCCCTCTCATACTTTCTCTTTCTCTCTCTCTCAAATGAATAAATAAAATCTTTGAGAAAAAAAAAAAAAAAGACAGGAACCAAGATTGTTGAATATTATTCTCTTAATTTCCAAAATACCTTTAGTTCAGAACCATCTTATCTTTACAGTTCTGTGAAGGAACAGAACTGTGCTATTATGAACATTTAAATTTTAAATGTGAGCAAACATTTGTGTGGAAAATGAGATTTCCACTGGTTATCATTTAGCCAGAATCACAGTTGTTGACAGAAGTGGATTAGAGCCCAGGTCTGCTGACCCTGACCTGAACTCAGTGTCATTTCTATCATGCTAGGAAATTTCTGGGTTATTCAGGAACTTGGTGATGACTTATTCTCCCAGTTGCCTCTTTGACCTGTGGACTGCAATTTTTTGTCCTTGCCAAATTAAAAAACACTCATATTAGGTCCTCTTTTATAAAGGACTTTTCTTGTTGTGTGAGTGACGAAATTTCTGAAAGGAAAATACCAAGAAGTGGAAGAGGCAATGATGGTATGGACGGGAATAAGGACAAAGGAGGAGGAGAGCGATAGAAAGGGAGTCGTGACGTCTGAAAGAATGTATGTCTGCACTGAGGTGTTCAGGGTCCCTGGGCAATATGGAAGCATACGGGGTATGATGAGGAAACTGGGTTTAGCCACAAGAGGTGCAAATGTAAACTGACTTGTAGGAAGGGCGTACATGGACATGGCTTTGGTTGTGTTGAGGGGAGACTGTTGGAGGGAGAGAAATGGTATTTATTCTGGGACAGGATGAGGCACTTTTCAATGATAGCTTAGAAATTTTCAGAATAACTCTGAGGAAGAGTTTAAGATAGAAACTGATGGAAAGAAATTTTTGGTTTGTAGCCTCTAAAAACAGATGCACTGTCATGTATACAATAGACCTGTTCCTGGAACAGCTGTTTGTAAGTTGTATCAATATTTAAATGCATCCATGGGGCGCCTTGGTGGCTCAGTCGGTTAAGCTGCTGCCTTTGGCTCAGGTTGTAATCCCAGGGTCCTGAGATCAAGCCCCACGTCGGGCTCCCTGCTCAGTGGGAAGTGTGCTCCTCCCTCTTCCTCTGTTGCTCCCCCTGCTTGTGCTCTCGCTCGCGCTCTCTCAAATAAATAAAATCTTTAAAAAAAAAAATTTTTTTAAAGCATCCTGAGAGGGGGTAACTTAAAGGGAAGCTATGGTGAATCCTTCTGTCAAGTCAAGAGTCACCCTAACTTACTGTTTTGAAATTCCAGCAGGTTTTTAGTTTTATTGCTCAGTATCATGAATCTGTGATCTGCATAGGTGTGTGTTGAATGAACAATCCTCATGTTCCATCGTACCTAGTTCAGATTCTCCCCGATTTACAGGAAATCAGTAACCTCTTTGACTTCTTTGCAGATGTTATCTGAAAATACGCTTGTTTGCCAGGAAACTGTGCATTCACCCTTTAAAATAGAACTTTCATTTGTATGCCTTGGTACACCCTCCATAGTTCTGTGCCATCTTCTTTCCTTACCTTTGTTTCAGCACCTTCTGACTGGTGGGCGCCCCGCGAGCGTGGTTACAGGTTGACCATGGTTCCCTGCCGCACAACACTATGTGGGAGGAAGGAAATTTGTGTGGTTAAGGCATGGGAGGTATTGCGACTTCTTGTCTTTACTACTCACCAAGGGCGGTTTCCAAATCACATTGTGCCTTTCAATTCTCAGTCTTTGAAGCATTAAGTAATAAATACATGTATTTATTTGCTTGCTTATTGAAGACTAGACTATTGAAATGGATGGTCCAGGACAGATGTGTAAACTGAGCTTGAACGTACATTAGAAAGCATATAGTCTTGTCTCCCACACAAAAGAAGGACACCTTTTAGGATATCCTGGCCCTATGGGCCCTATGTCCATTAAAGTTACTCATTTCTTTGTAAGACACTCTAGGGAGAAAGCTTTTTTAATTTCCATCACTCTTGTCTCTGTATAATAGGAGAGAATGTTTGCCATGGTCAGTTTATAAGCACTGCCATGGTGCAAGACACTGCACTCTGCTTGGCATTTTCCCTTCAGTAAGAGAGGCTCATGTGGCAAAAGATCAGCTTGGGAGGGACATTAAGAATTGCTGGGGGGGGTGCCTGACTGGCTGAGTTGGTGGAGCGTGTGACTCTTTTTTTTTTTTTTTACGTTTTATTTATTTGAGAGAGAGCGAGAGAACAAGAGCAGGGGCAGGGGAGCGGGAATCAGAGGGAGAGGGAGAAGCAGGCTCCCCACTGAGCAGGGCGCCCAATGTGGGGCTCGATCCCAGGACCCCGGGATCATGACCTGAGCCAAAGGCAGACGCTTAACTGACTCAGTCTCCCAGGCATCCCAAGCGTGTGACTCTTGATCCCAGAGTTGTGAGTTCAAACCCCATGTCGGGCATAGAGATTATTTAGAAATAAAATCTCTAAAAAAAAAAAAAAATCACTGGAAAATGATAACTATATGAGGTGATAGGTGTATTAATTAAGTCAACAGTGGTAATCACTTCACAATGTATATATATATTAAATTATCACATGGTAACACTATAAATGTATAGAACTTTCGTTTGTCGAGCATACTTCCATAAAGGTGGAGGGTGGGGGAATCACTGGATTAACAAAAGCAGGGGGATTTTAAAGCCCAAGAAAAACCTAGGTTTGTATTTTGGTTCTGCTGTTTTTACAATGGGAAAAAAATTGGTCTCAGAAAGGTTAAATAGTTTACTCAAGGTAATTTGGGTGATCTTTTGCAAACTACTTCATTTTCTTCACTGTAACATAGATCTAACTAATATCTAACTCATCTGGTTATTTTGAAGGTTAGAGATCAAAACACTGGGCACATATAAAGCAGTCAGTAAATTGCTACCATAGTAGTTTTATTATGGTGATGATACACAGTCATCCAACAAATACATGCGGAACACTCACTCTGTCACCATATGCCAGGCACTGTTCTGGGTGTCGGGTAAACTGGTGACTAAGACAAACAAGGTCCTTGTTCTCATGAAGCTTCTGTTTTAGTAGGTAAGACAGACAAGAAAACACAGGGATTTCAGATGGTTAGTGCAGTGAAGACCACAAAGTGGGGTGAATGTAATTGAGAAGTGGGGGTGGGGGTTAGCTAGTTTAGAGACATTTCCCAGAGAAGCTAGAGACCTAGATTATGAGAAAGAAAGAGTCTGCCGTGAAACAGTAGGGGGTTGGAGGGGAAATCCAGCAGAAGACTAGTAAGTAAAAAGGTAGAAAATAGCTTGGCTTCCGAAAAGAGGACCAGTGTGGCTGGAGCAAGGAGGATGGGAGGGGACAAGGTTAGAGAGGTCAGTTTATATAAGACCTTGTGACCATGATAAGGAATGTAGACTTTATTCGAAGTACAATAGGTCAGTCGAGGGTTTTAATCAGAGGAGTGGTATGGACTAATTTATGTTTTTTTTATTTTATTTAGAGAGAAAGAGGGGAGGGGAGAGGGAGAGAAAGAATCTCAAGCAGATTCCCCACTGAGCGTGGAGCCCATGGTGGGGCTCGATCTCACCACCCTGAGGTCATGACCTGAGACAAAATCATAAGTCGGACGCTCAACCAACTGAGCCACCCAGGCACCCCTGGATTAATTTATGTTTTAAAAAGACAGTTGGGCTTCCAGTCGGAAGCAGGGAAACCAGTTTGCAGGCTGTAACATGGTTTCGTCACAGCTGATGGTGGCTTGGGTTAGGATCATGGCATTGAAGATGTGTGGAGACGGGGAAAAGCGGAACTGGCAGGACTTGCAGAGAAGTTACATGTGGAGAATGAGGAAGAAAAGAGGGATTCCGGGGGGGGCACTCCTAAATTTTTGCCCTGAGTAACTGGATGCATGGGGACAGGCTGAGTTGGCAAGACAGTGGGGTCTCATGCAGGAGTAGATTTTGTTTCGGAGGAATTTGGGACACGTTAAGTTGGAGATGGCTAGAAGACAGCCACATTTTAAAGCCCATTTAGCCACAGATCCTCTTTTTCAGATTTATATTTGTTCCCTTCTTCTGTTGTTACAACTTTTTTTCTTTCTTACCACACGTAAACTTTGGAAATCAGAATCTTGGTATCTTGAAGTTGTGACATGTGTCTCTCGTGGCCAAAGAATGGCATTGGAGCCTTAAATGCAGTGCTGTGAATTTGCCGGCCAAAGTGAGAGTGCTCATCCATTTTCCGTCTTTACCATGTCCTTGGCAACACATAGTACAGGTTCCCGAAGAACTGTTACTTCTGCCATACTGTGCTCACTTGGCGTCAACGTACTGTGCTCACTTGGCGTCAACGTAAAGAACTAATGAATAGGAAAGTTCTCCCTTGGCAAAAGTTTTAAATTCTTTTTTGAGAGGCTCTACTCTCTTTACTAAAGATTTTCTAGGGTTTCTCCAGACCTTCAAATGTAATAGGTAGGCAATAAGTATTTATTTATTTTGGATTTTGGTTTTACTTGGTATCTTTCTGGAATGGTTTTCACATACCTGTTTTACCTTATATACTGTTTTTACCTGGAAAGGTTAGTATCTTGGATGTACTACGAGTGCTATTATTGGACTAACTCCTCTTCAATTGTAATCTTGTTTTATTCCTTTGGATTGGTGGCTTATAGAAGAAAAAGATACTGTTATGAGATCATATTCAGGATAGATGAAGAAAGAAAATAAAACTAGGTGCAGGGAGTTACATTTTACAAGTTTTAATGATCTTTTCTTCTTCCTTCCTGGAAGGCAGCTAACCCAGTTTTATGTATTATAATCTTGGCAAACGTAGAATTTCCTAACTTTGGTTTCTTTTGTGTCCGTTATCTGTTGCCGCATAACAAATTACCCCAAAACCCAAAGCTTAATACAACAACCATTTTTTACTCCACATGGTTTCTGAGGATAGGAACCTGGAAATGGCTTAGCTGGGTGGTTTTGGCTCCGGTTCTGGCCTCTGATGAGGTGAGGGTCAAGCCGTTGGGGCAGGGCTGCAGCTGTCTAGGGTTCAACGGGTTGAACTGTCCTCTTCTCGGGTGGTTCTCTTACATGAAAGTTTCTTTCCTTATCACTTGGGCCTCCCACAGGGCTGCCTGAGCATCCCCATGATGTGGCAGCAGGCTTCCCCAGAGGGAGTAAGTGAAAGGGAGACGGCTGGGGGGGCTGGAGGGGGGTGGGGGGGCGGCGGGGAGGTAGTTCCATAATTGACTTAGGATTTTCTTTAAAGCTGTCCCAAGCTTTGATGCTGAGAGTCATTTCTCAGATGAGAAGTATCACATGTGTCGGATTTATATCCTGCTGTTCTGTTTCTGTGCCTTTCTGCGTACAGAGTGATTTTCATTTTAATGCTAAATCATGGCACTGAAATAAATGTGTCTTGAAGACCTTTTCAGTGGCCACCGCTTGCAGCAGTGCCCCTAAGTCAGTGGGAGTGCCAGCCACGTGAGCGTTTACGACCGAGTTTTGGAAGAGTTGGCACTGAGACCTGTATCACGCCTGCTGTCTAGCAGACATCTATTGTGTAAGGTGCATCCTGATTTCAGAGGGGTTGGGACATGAAAAAAATACTTCTAAGAATTGAAGAAAGATGGCAAACAGTTTTCTCCCCCAGCCATGGGAAGTACAGTAAATGAAAGTCTTCTGTGGATGAGTTTCTTTCCTCTTGGTTTTACAAAGCCTGGAACTCACAGAGGCATAATCTGGCAGGGAGGGAGTTATGAATGGGCAGTTTACAGCTAGGATGAATATACAGGTTATTTCCAAAATACGTTTTGGTTTCAGAAATGTAAACAAGGAAAACCTCTCTTCCGTGACTGACTTTTTTTTTTTTTCTTTAAGGCATAAAGATCACTGTCAACCCAGAGTCAAAGGCAGTCTTGGCCGGACAGTTTGTGAAACTGTGTTGCCGGGCAACTGGACATCCCTTTGTACAATATCAATGGTTTAAAATGAATAAAGAGGTAACTTTTTTAAGTATTTTACTTCCCTTATCATAAAAAGAGAGAATGATAGCAAATTATTTAGCATCATTATCCTCAGTGTGTTTTTTGGAACTTTGATCTGATAGACATGGCTGTGTTATTACTGAAGTAGTCAATAATCATTATTTTGGTAAGACGGTTCCAAAAGTTGTCTTACAAAAAAATGGTAAATGGGGCACCTGGCTGGCTCAGTTGGTTAAGCATCTGCCTTTGGCTCAGGTCGTGGTCTCAGGATCCTGGCATCGGGCTCCATGCTCAGCAGGGAGTCTGCTTCTCCTTCACCCTCTGTCCGTCCCCCTACTCATGTGCTCTCTTTATCCCTCTCGTTCACTCTCTCAAATAAATAAAATATTTTTTTAAAAATGGTAAGCAATAATAAAATCAATTCTCTAGACTCTAAAAATTGTAGAAATCAGTATTATTACTTAGAACAACATTAACAAATAGTAAATACCACCAGTACATTCTAACATACCAATCCAGAATTCCTTAACAACAAATTATGTTCCAACCAAAATCTCTCTTTTTTTTTTTTTTGAAAATAACTTTATTTTCTTGGGCTGTGTGTGCCCTCTAGTCTCAGAACTTCTGGAATGGTTTCTTGGGCCAGCAGCCTGTGTGACTTTGATCACATTGAAGCACACAGTCTTGCTCAAGGGTCAACACTCACTCACTGTGACAGTATTGCCCATCCGGACGTCCCTGAAGCCAGGGGACAGGTGTACGGACATAGTCTTGTGGTGTTTCTCAAGGCAGTTGTACTTTCAGATATGGTGGAGGAAGTCTCGGTGGATGACAGTCTTCTGTACCTTCATCTTGATCACCACACTAGACAGAATCTGCCCTCAGATAGAGACATTACCAGTAATGGGGCATTTCTTGTCGGTATAGGACCCTCAGTGACCTCCTTGGACATTTTGACACACAGACCAAAGTTTTTATGGTATTGTAGGAGCTTCTCTTTACCAGTTTCTCCAAGCAGGTCCCTCTTCTTATTTTGAAAGATGGTTGGCTGCTTTGGGTAGGTGCACTCAGTATGAATGTCCACCATCTTCCCGACCACCTGAAAAAAGGAAACCAAAATCTTTAAAAATTTTTTTTTTTTAAAGATTTATTTATTCATTTGAGAGAGCAAGAATGAGAGAGAGTACATGAGAGGGGGGAGGGTCAGAGGGAGAAGCAGGCTCCTCGCTGAGCAGGGAGCCCGATGCGGGACTCGATCCCGGGACTCCAGGATCATGACCTGAGCCGAAGGCAGTTGCTTAACCAACTGAGCCACCCAGGCGCCCGGAAACCAAAATCTTTAATTAAAAGATTTTTAAGGTGCCACGGAAGGCTAATGGAAGATTATTTTAAATGTTCCACGTAACTATTATATCAAAAGATTTAGGCTATTGTGGTAGATTCTGAAGTAAAATTCAGGCTGGTGGAGTGGGGCATTATTCTTTTGGTGGAAATATTGTATCCCTGCACCACCCAATAATTTAAAATTACATATTGGAATTCTTTTTTCTTAAAAGTTCTTTGAGCTAGGGGTGCCTGGGTGGCTCAGTTGGTTAAGCTTCTGCTTTCGGCTCAGGTAATGATCCCAGGAACCTGGGATCGAGCCTCGCATGGGGCTCCCTGCCCAGCTGAGAGTCTGCTTCTCCCTCTGCCTCTACAGCTCCCCTTGCTTGCACCCTCTTGTTTTCTCTCTCTCTCTGTCAAATAAATAAATAAAATATTTTTTAAAAAAAAAGTTCTTCGAGCTCCTGTGCCACTGAGTGTTCCCACTGGGCTGGCTAGCCCATGTTGAGTCTCGCTTTGGTTGGCTCCTCTCTTCTCCCACTCCACCTCCCCTAGCCCCCTTCCTTCCTAGATTATACCTTGAAACTCCATACTCTTTTCAACCTGTTAGTCAAATAACTAAGCTTTCATCCAAATTCAGTACTAAGTCTACATGTGCAAACCTGAAACTAAGTTAAAGAGCCATTCTAAGGTCATGATCTTTCCTTTAATGGGATCATCCTGTGCCTTAGAAGAAATGTGTGGTGTTACACAATTTTTTATTCCCATCCCTTACACACAGGTAAGGTAGAGCCGCTGAACTGTAGTAAAAGGTTGCATGTAGGCTTTGGTGCTGGACAGGCCTGTGTTGGAACCCTGAGTGTCATTTTTTGTGATATGAATTCCTGTCATCCAGGGTTATAAGAATTTAATAGACAATGTGTTTCATGTACGTAGGCTTTCAGGAGATGGTAACTAAAGCTATTTTTCACATTTTCTCAATTGCAAAGTTGCTTTTATCTTAATAAATGTCTTTTGAAAAGGGAGAAATGACAGATAAAACTTGGTACATTAAGCATATTGTTTGTAAAATATGCCCTGATTTGAGAAAGGTAAAAATGTAGGAGGTGGGGAGTACTTCTTAGATTAGAAGAGTTGTAATAGATTTTGAAGCCCTCACGAGCTCAAGTTTTGTCAGGCTACCTCTATGGCCATGAGGTTATTTTAAGAGATACTCACTGAACAAGTACTTGATGAGCTCTTGTTTTGTGCCAGGCCGTGATCTCAAGCCGTGATGATGAAGCACTGACACACAGGGTCGTGCTCTGGTGGGGAGAGACAGCAAACAAACAGAATTCTTTGAGTTAAGAACTACGAGGAGAATCAGCAGGGTGATCTAAAGTGAGATGCCACTAACCGTCTTAAGCAGAAGTAACATAATAGGATTTGTGTTTTTAAAACACAAAGCTGCCGCTTGAAGAGAAGCAAGAGAGAAGCAGGAAGACCATTTAGCTAATGCTTGTGCTAGGCTGGAAATAGTGGCAGGGCAGTGGAAAGGGAACAGAGTGCTCAGGTCAGGTTATTTTAGAGGGAGAGTTGATCACACCTGATACGTTAGAGGTGGAGCATGAAGAAAAAGGAAGAGAGATCAAGGATGACCCTGGGATTTTTTATGGAAGCACCCGGGGACGTGTTATATACTGAGGTATTGAAGATTGGGAAAGAAATGGATTTAAGGAGAAAAATCAAGGATTGGTTTTAGATGCATTAAGTTCAAAATGCCCATTAGACATCTACATGAATCAGCTAGGCAGTTTGGATATCTGGAGAGTCTTTGAAAGTTTATGTTACAGAAGACAAACCAGTAAAGAGACTAAGAAGAACCTGAAAGAGAGATGGGAGGAAACCCAGCAGAGGATGGTATGAAGCCTAAAAGGGAAGGCATTTCAAGAAAAAAGGGGTAGTTAACATTTTCAGTGCTGCTGAGAGGAGGGGGTGCGTGTCAAGGGAGGCTTGTTTGGGGTTTTTTACTTATTTAAGATACAAAGGACTAGAGTATGTTTTCGAGAGTGATACAATAGAAGAGAAATAGATGGTAAAGCAGAGAGAAAATTGCAGGAGCAAGGTCAGAGCGGATGGAATTGACAGGAGAGGAAAAAGTTTTCCTCTGCCCTCTTATGTTCATTCTCTGGGTTCCTGTGAATTAACTGACAAAATACAGATTGACAAGAGAAGAAGTTTATTCGTATGGGAACTTACAAAGGAAGTAGCTCCATGACTAGTTAAAGTTAAAGCCTTACATACCTAATTTAGGGAAAAGGGTGGAGGGACAAAGGCCTCTATGAGAGGAACAGATGGATTTCTTTAAGAAATACAAAGGGGTTTCTAGAAGAATAAACAGGAGATAAGAAAGTTTGACCATGTTTATTCATGTGGGTGAAAGTGGTCTTCCCATCTTCATCATTGGCCATAAAACTCTCCTGGAGAGGGGATTTGTAGTAGGTTTATTCTTGGTCTCCTTCCTGGATAAAGCCACCCTGAAGAAGGAATTTATGGTAACCTCATTTCCCAGAAGTGTCTACTTTTGATCAGATAGGGGAGTCTCTGAGAAAGCTGCTTTCTGCACCTGTTGATCCCAAATGTCTGCAGCTTGAGCTAGTCTACATACCAAGTCTGAGGTTCTGAGTGGATCCCCACAGATCCTAAGCCCAAGTAGCCTTTGCCAGGAAGACGCATTTTCCATTTTAACAGAGAGCAGAGAGCAGTTATAAAGAGATACATAGATAGCTTTGGTGGCAGGAAGAGGAGAGTTTCTATCTGAAGTCGGTAGCTGAGAGAAGCAGGGTTGATTGTAGGAGGTTTGAAGAGACACAAAATATGCATTAATAGTCTAGTAGAAAAGCAGACAGTACATTAACATGGTGCCAAGTGCAGCCTGCCATCCTAGTTGTCAAATCCTCAGCAGAATGCTCTTGCTCTGGTGCAGGTTCTGAAGGGGCAAGAGTGGAATTCAATTGGTTGGGGTTTGGAGAGGGATACTTTTGAAAGGGAACTAATGTAATATAACAGGGCACTCGACTAAGCCCCTTGACCATGTGGCAGAAGTGCACTTACAGATTGATGAGAGCAGCAAAGGTGAAAGAAACCTTAATGTGGTGACCAGAGCCCTGGGGGAGAGCTTGGCAAACCCTTGGGTGGCCATTTCTTCCCATCACTGACATGCTTTCCATAGCCCTTCCCTGCCCAGACCCTGAAAGAAGAGTGGTGGTTCAGGAGTCTGTCCTTTTACAGAATTTTGCAGATGAGAAAATGGGGTCTCAAGGTGAAATAACTTGCTTAGGTACTCACAGCTAATTTGGCCAGAACTGAAATGAATAGTCGGGCCTAACCTTCCGTGTTATTTATAAGTTTGCCATTGTAGATTCTTTAAATACTAATGATTTGAACAATTTTAAATGACAGAACAGATACTTTTCTGTTAGTTTCTGGAAGATCTGTGGACAAGATCTTAACTCTCTAGTTAATGGATTTGTAAGAGTGTGGATTTCTAAGACTTTAGTCTTAAATTATTCAAAATGTTGTTTGTTTTTTTAAGTAAAAAATATTTTAGAACTTGGGGGGGAAAGATGCTTTTCAAAGCTCCAAAGAAATCAACACATTTTTTTGCATGGCACATTTTTATAAGGCATGTTTTGATGAGTCATTCATTTACATTCTCTTACTGATTCTTTCACAGATCCCAAACGGAAATGCATCAGAACTTATTTTTAACACAGTGCACGTAAAAGATGCAGGCTTTTATGTCTGTCGAGTTAATAATAATTTCACCTTTGAATTCAGCCAGTGGTCACAGCTGGATGTTTGTGATGTCACTGAAGTAACAGAAAGCTTTCAGGGTAAGTGATAAATTAAGTTGAATATTGGGATGGGAATTGCCTTATTTTATTTTGAATGTTTACTTGAATTTCACAATATCACAAACAGGACCGGAAGTTCATGTACGTTCTTATCACCAGTTGGTCAGACTTTATCCCGTGTGCTTTGGTCCCTTCTCCACAGACATGTGCACATGCAGATAGATGCCTTAGGCCGGCCCTGCCACTGGCCTCTGCAAACGTCCCTCCTATTTCTTTCTACACTGTGTGTCTTTCTCCCAAACTGTTGCATTACACTGACAAAATCATGTTGCGGAATAAAACTTCTAGAGTTGCCTTTGGCGTGAAAGGGCAGGTAGCGTATCATTCCCCACAATAAAGCATTTCATCAGACTGTTTTTCTCCTCTCTGTCATTCAGCTTCTTAGGACAGTAACTAGTACTGATTTAAAAAATCAACCTATTCTAAAGAGTAGCCATCAGATGTTATTTTCTGTATTCACAGTCACAGTCAAGAACTATATTGTCATTTTACCAGACAGAAAGAATAGGTGGGAAACAGACTTGTTGTCACCTGTCTCCATTCTTCTTTCTCAATTTAGCTTTTCCTACACCTAAATAAATAATCTCTAAAAATAGTCATTATTAAACAAGGGAATTATGTCTTTCTAGGATATTTCTGTGCGTGTAATGAACTTTAATATGTTTATAAATTAAATCCTATTCATTCAGCAAAGACTGATCACCTGCAGTGTGTGAGACACTGAGTTTCATGATGGAGACTTGGTATTGGGTAACAATGACAAGTCCTCCTTCCTCGAGGACCTTAGAGCAACACATGAGGGTTCAATAAGTAACATTTTCTGGAGGCGTCTGGGTGGCTCAGTTAAGCACTGGACTCTTGATTTCGGCTCAAGTCATGATCTCAGGGTTGTGAGATTGAGCCCTGTGTTGGGCTCCGTACTGAGCGTGCAGTCTGCTTAAGATTCTCTCTCTCCTCCTCTTCCCCCACCCCCTATGGGTGCACACGTGCACATGCTCTCTCTCTCTCTCTAAAATAAATAAATCTTTAGGGGCGCCTGGGTGGCTCAGTCGTTAAGCGTCTGCCTTCGGCTCAGGTCATGATCCCAGGGTCCTGGGATCGAGCCCCGCATCAGGCTCCCTGCTCAGCGGGAAGCCTGCTTTTCCCTCTCCCACCCCAGCCCACCCCACGCTTGTGTTCCCTGTCTCGCTGTCTCTCTCTGTCAAATAATAAAATCTTAAAAAAATAAATAAATCTTAAAAAAAATAATAGTAATAATGCTTTCTGGTTTCTGCCTTAGGAAGAAATGCTAGCAATCATCCATCCATATTTATTCCATGCTAAAACTCCGTCTTTTAATAAGTTAAACCGCAGAATGTAGAACTTTCTGTGTTGAATGTGAGTATCACTCAAGATGTTAATAAGTTATTTGCCCCCACCAAAAAGAATCTGTGGCCAAACATGTGTGGAAACCACTTGAACTATTTTGCCCTTCTAAATAAACAGAGCATATAACACTTAAAGCTCTGAGGAGTCCTGCAGTAAAAAAATCTGTTTAACTCTGTTTAACCCAGAATTTTCTAAACATACTTGTCTACAGCATCCTTTTATCCACAGAACATCTCTTAGTATTTCTAGAAGTGTCACAGTTTTATGAAACAGTTTTAGGAGGTACTGTTAAGGATTATAAAAAATAACTTGAAAACACCTTTTTATGTTGTTGGTTTTTTTTTTTTAGTTAAAGGGGGAAAATTTTTTCTTACTGACCTAGGGATTTTATTTATGTTCAGTGATATTTTTCTTTTAATTTAAGGAAGTGTGGATGGCATCTCTGAACCCAAGTTGCAAATCTGCGTTGAACCAAGGTCCCAAAAGCTGATGCTTGGTAGCACATTGGTCTTACAGTGTGTTGCTGTTGGAAGCCCTATTCCTCACTACCAGTGGTTCAAAAATGAATCACCATTAATACATGAGACAAAAAAGCTATACATGGTAAGAAGTTGGTTATTTGGGTATTTTTTTGTGTAGATATATAAAATAAGTAGTATAATTGAAAATTAAGACAAACATTAAAATTCATATTCGTTGAGGTGTTTTAATGTTTTCCTTATTTTCATTTCAAGTCCCTTGTTATTCAGTATTAACTCATTCTTATATTTACAGAAATGCTGGAACATAACACTAGCCCACATCTAAGGGCTTATACTAAAATGTCAGATAGGGGCGCCTGGCTGGCTCAGTCGGTGGTGTGGGCAGGTCTTCATTGTGGGGTTGTGAGTTTGATCCCCACATTGAGTGTAGAGATTACTTAGAATAAAATCTTTAAAATGTCAAATAGTACTATACCTAACTCACCATTATTGGAATCATTGTATCATTTGCCTGCTAATATTTAATCTAATAATAAATGGAAATAATCTAAGAATGTCTAAAGTCCTCTTAAATGTTACAGGTTTTTTTTCCTAATTCAAAATAAGTTTCTCTCCAAGCCAATAAAATTAAATTGAAAGGAAATGTGTGTGTGTGTGTTCTGATATTGATAACAGGTACCTTATGTGGATCTGGAACATCAGGGAACCTATTGGTGTCATGTATATAATGACCGAGACAGTCAAGATAGCAAGAAGGTAGAAATCATCATAGGTAAGTAATCTTAGTGTTCTGATAAGTGGAGTAGAAATTATATAAAATGAAATATTAAAGCAATGGAAATTCTGCTTTTTACCTCATTCTATTTAATGTCGTGTTAAGTATCCAGAGTTATATTATTTATATAGAAAGTCGAGAGAATACATACTAAATTCACAATCATAAACATTTGTGGCGAAAAAAAAGTATTCTTTAAAACTTTAGTTATAAAAAAACTTTAAGTGGGAAAAGATTTTTAATAAAACACTTTTAAAAACCAGGCATCACAGACATAGAAAGGAAAGAATGATCATTAATCAGCAGTCCCCATTATAAAGTTTGTAATCTGGGAGTTTGCTCTGCTGAAGCTTAATGCATTTATAGTTAAGTTGTCAACAGTAGGAGGGTTGATGCATATGTTGGTTTGCCAACATATTTCTATGATACTTATTTCTCTGTTTACCTGATGGCTGCCCTTCCTAAGATCATGAATTACAGTATATTCACATTTGTTTTCTCTGGAACAAGGAAGAACAGATGAGGCAGTGGAGTGCACTGAAGGTAGTGTAATCCTTTGGTTTGAAACCACATACCCTGCATGCTGGTTCCTCTGGGGGTTGGTGGAGTGCTCTCGCCTGCTGAGTGCAGTGATGGAAAAAATACTAGCTATAAGAGAAATTTCACTGAGCCTCAGGATTTGTAAATTGCCAGGGACATTGTTAAACTGACACACTATTAAGGTAACTAATTTTCCATTGATTTTCTATTGCATATGAGAAGAGCATTTCTGTACATCTTACCAATAGGAAACATTTACAACTAATTCTTAATGTTAATTTTTATCTTTACAAAATTCGTTAAAAAGATGGACGGCTATACTACTATGGATAATTGTTTAAATGACTTTAGCCATCCTTTTAGCCATGATTATTTGCTGTTCAAATGTAAATGTGGCTTTTGTGAGAGTTTCAGGACAGGCAATTTCTTGTTAAACACATTTTATCAAATGCCTAATATTTCTGTTTCAGTATAAAATTAGTAAGATCCATTTTTTGAAGCTCTAAGTCTGTAGATTAATCTACCGTGTCATCTTTACCATAATATATAAAGAGAACTGGAAAATCTATTTCAACATAAGCTTTTAAATTTAATTATGCAAAGCATTGTACATAAGTTCTAATGAGTAAATTTTAATACTTGTTACCTTCCCTTAGTACATCACATTGTTTTACAGAATTTGGTTTGTAAATAGCAAAGTATTTTTTCAATTTCTGCTTCTTTAAACTATTAGATAATCTTGGGCTCTACTTGGATAAAGTAAAAAACAAAAAAAGTTAAATCTTTTGTTTCCTGGGTTTTCCTGTCTTTTGTATCTCTATGGTATCACGCTGAATTGTTTTGTCCTAATGCATACTTTTGAACAGGAATTCTCTAGCGTAAGGGGAATTCCAATCCTGTTGTCTATAGAGGCCTTACACGAGGGAAGCTAAGTGAAGAAATCCTAACAAACTCCTCTTCCTTGTCTTACGTTTTCTTTGCCTAATTGCATGATTTTTAAACTTTCCAAAGTTGAATATCTCTAAGAACAGATATAAACTAGCCCTGCTGTTCGGCTTCAGGGTGATGCATGGAAATTACTTGCTGTGCTGTTTCTTTACCTGTATGATTATCTCTGTAGTCTTTACAGTAGCAAGCACACTGTCAAATTCTAATTTTCACATAAGCCTTTCAGCACACTTAGAGATGAAGATCCAAGCATGAAAACTACTTCAGAAATTTCAAATGGGAGAATTAGATCCAACTTTTCTTTCTAAAAAAGTGTAAATGTTGAGATGTTTCATAATTGGTGGATTGACACATACCATTAACAGTATCCTACATCAGATCTTTTTTTTTTAACCTGCCTAACATGATGTTACTTATCTCACTTTATGTGTTTTGTTAAAGATATTTGGTCAGGACAAAAGGTGGGGATTGAGTAAGTGAAGCTCAGGGGATTTTTTTAGGGCAGTGAAACTATTCTGTATGATCATTGTAATGGTGAATACATGTGTGCAAGTTTTTAAAATCATTTAGTAGGAGGTCAGGGGAGGGGGAATCCCAGGATGGAATGCAGAATGTGACCAGAGAATCTAAATGCGTTACAAATGTATGCAGCAACCTCAGTGAAGAAGGGAAGGAAGAACAAGGTGCTGACCTAAGTAACTAGAAATGAATGAAGTCTATAAGACAAGAGGTAAAAAATTGTATGGAGCCCTGTACTCTAGTTGATGATGCTCTTCCGTTGACTTTACATCACAGATAAGAATAAGTTCCTCTGTATGCACAAACAATGAATCATGGAACACTTCATCTAGAACTAATGATGTAATGTATGGGGATTAACATAAGAATTTAAAAAAAAAAAAGAGTAAGTTCCTCTGTGACATCTTATCAACAGCATAACATTCGTAATTTACTGTTAATGTTAATTTGCATCTTCATAAGATTTGTAAAGGAAAAATAGATGGCTATAATGTCATGGGTATTTGCTTAGATGATTTTATCTCTCCCTTAGCTGGAGAGTACGGGTTAATAATTCTGAAACCACTGTACCTCCAAAAACACATTCCACCAGTCTAAGCGTAAGGAAAACATCAACTAATCCAAAGTAAGAGACATTCCACAAAGTCCCTACCAGTAACCTTCACAACTGTCAAGGCCATCAGAAACAGGGAAAGCCTCAGAAACGGTCACAACAAAGATCCCAAGGAGACCTCAGAAAATAGAATGTGGTGTCCTGCATGGGGTCCCGGGGGAAAAAAGAACATTAATGGTTCATTAGTTGTGACAAATACACCTTACTAAACATAAGATGTTAAAACACGCTGGGTATGGGTGTATGCAGGAACTCTTCTTTACTGTCTTCACTTTAGTTCTGTAAATCTCAAACTATCCTAAAATTAAAAGTTTATTAAAAATGAAGAAATCATTTGAGATTGTTTCTTAGTTTCCCAAAGTTTACCATTGAGACCACAGACCTATCCCTTGACTGTTTCTGTCCCAAAAGGCCAGAATATCTAAAACTTTGAACAAATGGTGAATGAGTCTGTTCAGCTTTTTGTCATTTAATGAAAGTAGCAATAGCTCAAAGTTCTACACGATATCAACAGTAGCATTCTTTCATGCTTGGTAGTTGCATGGCTTCTCCCTGAAGGCATTTGAAAAGTTCTAAACTAATGAAATATTATAACATGATTTAATAGCTTGAAACCTGCTTTTCTGATTAGTCTTACTACTTGTACTAAGTTGGCAGTTTGATTATTTAAAACTAATTTATTTTCTCTTATTTCATTTTAGATGAATTAAATAATCTTGGACATCCTGGTGAGTAATATAAAACATTAGCTTGAATACAATAACTAGATATTCTTCTACTGTAGTACTAGTAAATTTTTTCGTTATTAAAATAATATAATTTAGGGTTGAAATTAGTACTTATATGAAGCATAATTTCATGCAAGTGAAAATATTAAAAATATTCTAGATTATAGGACTGCAGAATAAGTATACTGCAGCAAGAGAAAATATCAATGTATGTTTTTATCATTGTGTATAACTCTGTCATAAAAAGGCAGTTAATGGAGTGTCTTTTTTTTTTTTAAGATTTTATTTATTTACTTGACACAGAGAGAGAAAGAGAGAGAGAACACAAGCAGGGGGAGTGGCAGGTAGAGGAAGAGGGAGAAGCAGGCTCCCCGCCGAGCAAGGAGCCTGATGTGGGGCTCGATCCCAGGACCCTGGGATCATGACCTGAGCGGAAGGCAGTTGATTAACCAACTGAGCCACCCAGGCACCCCTGGAGTGTCTTTATTTGAAGTAAAAGGTGTGTGATTGAGGATCATTGGTGTTATACAGAGAAATAGGTCGTCATGGACCATTAAGAGATGGACAGCAGGGACGCCTGGGTGGCTCAGTTGGTTAAGCATCTGCCTTTGGCACAGGTCATGATCCTGGGGTCCTGGGATCAAGCCCCAAGGTGGGCTTCCTGCTTAGCAGGGAGTCTGTTTCTCTCTCTCCCTCTCCCCTCCACTCATGCTATTGCTATCTCCCTCTCTCTCTCAAATAAATAAAATCTTTAAAAAAAAAAAAGAGGGGCGCCTGGGTGGCTCAGTCGTTAAGCGTCTGCCTTCGGCTCAGGTCATGATCCCAGAGTCCTGGCATCAAGCCCCGCGTCAGGCTCCCTTCTCCACGGGAAGCCTGCTTCTCCCTCTCCCCCTCCGCCTGCTTGTGTTGCCTCTCTCGCTGTGTCTCTCTCTGTCAAATGAATAAATAAAATCTTTAAAAAAAAAATAATAAGAGAGAGACTGATGGCAGAAGTATTCATTACTCTCGCCAATTTTAATCAGATTTCTGATTAAAGCTGAAAGGAAAGCCTCAACTATGGTGAAAAGCATAGTAATACTGAAGACCACGTAAAGATAGGGGACATCAGCATGGGCCTGAGATCCTGAAACGCAGTGATGGAGCCTGTGAAAATATCTGAAACTAAAACCTTACAGGAGTAGTTTAAGAAGTCAGTTACATCATTTAATATTTACAGTGATCCCTCGTCTTCTCACATGTTATTTCTCATTATTTTAGCACCGTAACTAGTCTGCTTAGTTTCGTGCCCATATTTTACTAATAAACCTCTATTATCGCGAGTGATGATCGGGCTGTGCCCATTACACAGATGCAAATGAGCCAAACCGGAAGGCCTCTGTTACGCGTATGCTGTCCTCCTGAGGGGCCTCCCAGGGACGTGTGCTTCAGACATCCAGACCCATGCAGTGATGGAGCTAGTTGTTTCTCTCGGTCTCATTAGAATCCTCTTTTCCTAAGTTGGTCTCTCATTTCTTGCTGTTCAACGAACACTGTGAAAAGTTATTTCAGGAAAACTTTTGTGAGAAACCACCACTAAGCTTCTAAGATTTTCCTGGCCCCCTCTTTCATTATATCCTTATTCCTCAAGAATCAAGAGATGCCCCCAACACTGAGTTTTTGAAAAAGAAAATTTTTAATGAACTTTTAATAGATTCCTATAGTTACATATATTATTAAGAATGCAAACAGAGTTACCCTGTCTATAATAGTAGACACATTATTGACTCAACTCCCATCTTTCCCTGCATCTTTTCCTGCATGGTCGTATTTATTTTCATTTTATGTATGTAGATGGCAAAGAGCATGGACTATGGAGTGAGACTTAGAAGCTCAATTACTTTGAGCAAATGACTCAATCTCCCTGTGCCTCAGATTCCTTATCTATATTATGGAGGAAGTATATACCTCATAGACAAGATGAGGCTTATCTAAATCCATTATATTTAAAACACCTAGAACAATACCAGGCAAGTCTTCAGTAACTGCTGACCATTCCTGCTACTGCTTAGTACCACCACCCACCATTTCCAGACTAATTTCTCCCTAGCATATTAAAGATTACTACCCCCAGCTATGGTCATTAATTACCAAAACAGTCCCCTGTCCTGATTCTACTCTGTCCATCCAGGTATATTTATCAAGAATATTAGGGGCTCCTGGGTGGCTCAGTCGTTAAGCGTCTGCCTTCGGCTCAGGTCATGCTCTCAGGGTTCTGGGATCGAGCCCCATGTCGGGCTCCCTGCTCGGTGGGAAGCCAGCTTCTCCCTCTCCCACTCCCCCTGCTTGTGTTCCCTCTTCGCTGTGTCTCTCTTTGTCAAATAAATAAATAAAATCTTTAAAAAAAAATAATCTGAAAATATTAAAATTATTAGTTAGCTGTTAGAAACCACATTCTGTCTTTTGATGCTGCTGATGTTATTGTTCATTGTTTCCATATATCTTTAACCCTGCAGATGTTTGTATCATGGACAAAAACACCTTATCTTTTTTATATTTTTATCTTTTTGTAGACAGTAAAGAGCAAACAGCTGATCAGCCTTTGGGTGAGTAGAGCTTTAAAATGCTTGGTCCAGGGGTGCCTGGGTGGCTTGGTTGGTTAAGTGTCTGACTCTTGATTTTAGCTCAGGTCTCAATCTCAGGGTCGTGAGTTCAAGCCCCACATTGGGCTCCATGCCTGCTTAATAAATAAGTAAATAAAATGCTTGGTCAAAATAGGGGCACATGGGTGGCTCAGTCAGTTGGGCGTCCAACTCTTGGTTTCAGCTCACGTTGTGATCTCGCAGAATCTGCGTGAGATTCTCTCTCTTCTTCTCCTTCTGCCCCTCCCCACCCCACTCGCAAGCTTTCTCTCTCTCTCTAAAATGAATAAATAAAATCTTTTTTTAAATAAGTAAATAAAATGCTGGGTCAAAATGCAGTTTTATAATGCTTTTATGGTGGTCATGAGGGGGATTCAAGATATTTTAATTTGACATTATAAATATTTAAATGACACTGAGACCAAATGTTTTATTTTGGATATTTGTAAAAGAAATTGTAGAACAGGGATCTTAAAAAGATTATGAATTCAGTTTCTGGGACCTAGTCAACTTCTGTGGAGCAATTTCTTTGTTTTGGCAGCATGCAAACAAACAACTAGGTAAACAAGAAACTTGCACATGTTACATAGAAGTGATTAATCCTGTGTCTTAGTGAGGTTAGAGATCGGGGAAGCAGGAGAGGTTGCAATAGCAGCTTTATATTTTAAAGAATGAGTAGAGGGGCACCTGGCTGGCTCAGTCAGTGGAGTGTGCAACTCTTGATCTCAGGGTTATGAGTTCAAGCCCCGCCTTGGGTGTAGAGATTACTTAAAAATTAAAAAAAAAAAAAGAATGACTAGAAGGACCTTTCAGACAGAGGAAGCATGAAATTGCAAGCACACCGTTGTAGAGAATGAGCTGGTATGCTGTATTTTGGGAACTGCAAGTAACACACAGTCCTCTAGAGCACAAAGAGAAGGTGGGAGAGAAGTCGGAAGACGCCAGCCCTTGAGGAGCCCCGTTTCTCATGCAAGCCATTGGAAGGAAACTTGTTGATAGAGGGCTGTGATTTGTCTCTCTGAAAGGCCAGCCTTGTATGGGTGGAGAAGGTAAACTGGAGGGAGACAATGTTTTGGTTAGGAGAAAAATTAAGAGACTGTTGCAATAGTCTAGATAAGAAATCATGGGAATCTAAACAAGGATGGTACCAGTGGGAATGCAGAAGACAGAGCAGACTCGGAAGACCTTTAGGCGATGGAATCAGTAAGCTGTTCTCATGACCTTGCTATAGGGCATAAAAAGTAGAGAGGAATCACCATGTCTGCTTGGATTCCTGGTTGTCCCACTAGGTGGGCAGCAATAATAGTCCACTGAGTTAGAGAATACAGAATGGAAGGCAAGATCCAGAGGGTAGATGACTATCCATTTGAGACGTAACCTGTATGAGGTATTTGATCACATCTAGGTGAAGATATACAGCAGGCATTTGTGTATATGGATCTGGAGCTCGGAGGGGCGGGGAGCGGGAGCAGGATTAGAGGTAGAGTTAGGAGCATCATCAGCATAGAGATGGAAATTCAGACCAAGCAGTAGCATACATGAGATTACCACAGACCACAGAGAAAAGGGCACAAACTGGGTAACCTTTGTGGGGGGTGGGGATGGGGAGGGGAGTCCATACAGTATTTTTTAACAGAATCAGTTGTCATTAATCAGGTATTATATCAAAATTTAGATTTCTAGGTTCTTTTGAAAAGTGGTAGCTTTTGAGGGGTAGCTTAGCTGTGCTAAAAAGTGGCTGCCCCCTTAGAAGGGTCTCGTACTCCTCTGTCTTCCCGTTGTACAACCTTGGGCCTACTTCACTCTCTCCCCCTCCCCGTCCTCCCCTCCTTCCCCACATAGTCTTGCTGTGTAGCTAAATTTTTTCTTTACATGGTGTCTGGGTCTCAAAAGTGGGAGTCGTCTGGACTTCCTAAGTTTAGACCCAGAACTGGCAAGTGTCACGCCAAATTATGTTGTTCAGAGAGAATCACAGGGCAGCCCAGGTTCGGGGCCGGAGCTGGCTTGCGGGTCTATACCCTGAGGGCAAGGATAGCGTGGCTCCTTGGAGGTCACCACACCTTCTACCACATCTGGAGAGGTAGGCTTCGACTTGACTTTATAGGACATAGAGATTAAAAGATTTTGTGCAGACCAACAAGGACTGTATAGTCAGTCAAATTTGGTGCTAATACTCAATTTTTGATAGCCAAGTGTTTTTATACTTAACAAATACCTAAATAGCACTTAATCTGTATCAGGTTCTTTTCCAGGTACTTACAAATATTACTTATTTTAGAGGAGGTAAGATGAATAACGCACTATTCAAGTAATTACACATGGAATTAATACAGTAACATTGTACCCGTTTTTGAAGAATACATTGCATTAAGCTTTGGAAGATGCCGAGGATCATGTAGTTAAAATAGCTTTCTGAAGTGGTTTTATTATTCTGTTGCTTAATCAACTGGCAATTTTGTTTCCTTTTTCCAATAAATGGTTTGTGTTCAAGAAGTTGTGGGTGGCTCTTACAGTAAATGTTTTTCTTCAGAAGATTTCTTCCCTCTATTTTATCACTTGCAAGCCATCATGAATTGCTTATGTAGTTGCTATTTTGAAATTGTCTTTGATTCCTTGCCCTTATCTCCCCAACTTTGCATTTTACCGCTTCTTTCTCTGTCGTATCTCTAAAGTCTGGCTTTTCCTTTTCCTTTCTACAACCAATTCCTGGCATGGGTCTTTGTCATCTCTTACGTTGACCACTGCAGTCTGCTTCTCTATTCCAAATGCACCCCAGTTCGCCTGTCACTCAGGAACTGTATCACAAGTAGATTGAGCAAGGTAAGATTTACTTACCCATCATCTTTATTACCATTACACTCGAGAAAGTGCTCTAAGACATTTTAGGAATTGGCTGTTAAAAACTGTAATTGGGTAAAATTCTTTTAAGGTGCCATGGTCAACTACTGATACATATATTTTGAGCCACATAGTTCTTAAATTGTTGAACCCTGGCCTTCTGTAAACTGTACCGAGTGTTCTTTCTAAATAGATGACTAAATCCATGAATAAAGAGTTGACATTAGCAAAAAACATGCTTAGTTTGAAAACTGGTCTTTCCCCCTAGACGCCAGTGAATTTTTTTTTCGGTTATATTTCTTATAATTGTTTTTTGCCAGTAAAACTTAGTCTAGGACGTATATTAGAATTAAATTAGTAGGGGCGCCTGGGTGGCTCAGTCGTTAAGCATCTGCCTTCGACTCAGGTCATGATCCTGGGGTCCTGGGATCGAGCCCCATGTCGGGCTCCCTGCTCAGTGGGAAGCCTGCTTCTCCCTCTGCCACTCCCCCTGCTTGTGTTCCCTCTCTCGCTGTTTCTCTATCTCTGTCAAATAAATAAATAAAATCTTTAAAAAATAATAATAATAATTATAATATTCCATCAAAAAAAAATGATTTACAAACACTTTACTACCTGCATAACTTTGGGACCCGTGATTTGGGCTGTAGCATGTAAGCCACACACACATTCTCTTACTTCCCCCACTTAGAGGTAGACTGCACTGAGTCTGTCACTGTATCGACGGGTCTAAATTCTGATGGGGTTGATGGACTCACAAAAAATGCACTGAGAATTTTCTTTCTGTGGATTAGCCAGCTAACAGTCTTGCCATACAGTGGGTACTTTGATGTAAGAGCACAGATTTAGTTTATTTAAGAAGAAATTAAAACAAACAAAAGCAACATTAAGTTTTATACTGCCTCCTATTGAATTCTATCCTGAGTGTCCTCAACTTTTTCAATGATTTTTAGAACTAAAGGCAGTTCAGTAGCAACTTTATGTCTGAATCTTTGTGTTTTAAATAGTCTTGATAATTGACCTTTTCTTTTGAATAAAAAATTATCATTTATGTAGGCCTTGAAGTGACTTTTACTGAATTAGAAATGTTTAAGTATGATTTCATTTTTTTCTAAAATACATGTACTAATAACAATAGGCAACTTGCAGGAAGCCTCTAAGACTGTGAATGTTAGAATAAAGATGTCATGACAAGATTGAGGCTTTTCACAAAGTGGGGTTTTCTTTCACTCTGAGAGAGCCCCGTTCTAGAGTTGGCACTGGTTTTTCTCCAGACCTGGCTTAACACTGGTCCTAAATGTTCTGTGGAAAGAAAAGACATTTTACCAAAGATTTTTCATCAATTTAATGATTTGAAACATCTGAAATTCTACCCCATATTGCAGACATCAAGTCAGCAATGGGATTATTTATGCCTGTTTCAATTTCAGGAGAGTAGTAGTCATCATTTATAAAGAAACTACTGAGCAGCATTTAGTGACAGAGGATGGTCACCTAGTCCTGGCCTGTGTCAGTCGGCGGCTCCCAATCCTGCCCCGTGCGGCTCCTCAGCCAGTTGGCTGGGCTCTGCCAGGTGCCCTGGTTACACCTTGTCCGCTGCTTCCTGGCACCTCTGGCACGGTTTGCGCCTGAACCTGCGCTGCACGTCCCCACTGCTGGTCCTCACAGGTTCCTCCCTTCAGGGCACGGTCTCCGATCTCTGTCCACTAACAGCACCCCAGACCAGCCTTCTACAGCCACTTCAGGACAAGCTCTACACGTGGTAAAGCTAGCTGGTACTTTCTAAGGCATAGGTGTGGGTCTGTTTGCCCCTTAAAAACAGAAATTCCTCATACGAGAGTACATCTTTGAGCAAAGTCTCTGCACTAAGGTCAGAAAATAAACTGTTAAGATATTCATACAAAAGGTCTTCACGTATCCCCAAGGTCTCCCAAACAGGATGTTTTTGTTTTGTTTTGTTTTTTTAAGGAAGCCGAAAGGAGACAGTACATCATCTGAAAAAATACAGATAGAGTTCTTGTTAAGTCCCTGCTTTTCTCCCTCTTTGGTTTTCCCCATACTTGCTCTGACGAGAATTTGTCCTGTTCCTCTTTTTGGTATTTCTTTTGTTTTTAGCCTCTTTCCACTGTGAGCAAAACAGAACCTAATTTGATGGGAACCCAATTTACTAACATTGCTTGTTTAAATTTGCTCTAAAAGTCTAGTTGAATATTCTTTACTAATTTCTTTACTAACTGAAAAAAAGTATTAATTTAATATGTGTTACCATTACGCTTCATATGCTGCTCATAAATATCCTTTGCCTGGTTCTCAAAAACATCAATAAGTTTCGTTTCATCAGTTATCAACCCGTGTTCCTCAGGAGAGTATACCGTATAAAGTGGCCTACTACATAAAGTGATAGTTCTAGAATGAAATTAAATAATGAGATCTTGTTTGTAAAGTATATGTCTTATTATAATTATACCACTTCCATAGGTTTTATTTTAATCTTTATATCCTCCTCTAAATCCCCTCTCTTTTTTTTTTTTTTTTTAACAGCAAAGGACAAGGTTGCTCTTTTGATAGGAAATATGAATTACTGGGAGCACCCCAAGCTTAAAGCTCCTTTGGTGGATGTGTATGAATTGACCAACTTGTTAAGACAACTAGATTTCAAAGTTGTTTCACTGTTGGATCTTACTGAATATGAGATGCGAAATGCTGTGGATGAATTTTTACTACTTTTAGACAAAGGAGTATATGGTAAGATATTTATAATCTTTGTTTTTATAATTATCCACTCTTCATTGTACAAGTTAAGTTAGGTTAAGAGATAAAAATCAGAGAACGGTGTGGTAAGTACGTCCAACTGAAGAGTTTTCTTCTTGTAAAAATGATGGATTTGATCTTCATTCTGTAGTTCCATGGGAATTACTAATTAGCTCAACGTCTTTACTTTCATGTCTGTTGTTTTATCAAAACAATATTGTTCTTATTCCTATCTTAGGTGATTTTTTTATTGATAAAATTCAAGTACAGTGAAGCTCAGTGACCAGACAGCACATTGTATAGTCATATGTGTACAGTCCTGCTGGGTGTGTGCGTGTGTGCACGTGTGTGTGTGCGTGTGTAGTACAAAGGGAACCAAGTGTACATTCTGTATGTTTTATTCCTTTTTCTGACTATTGCCTGGTATTTTCTAGTCCTTTAATGGGAACTGGAATTTAGCAAGGATATGTTGGTGAATGAAGCATATGAAAACAATTTGTGGGGCGCCTGGGTGGCTCAGTTGGTTAAGCGACTGCCTTCAGCTCAGGTCATGATCCCAGGGTCCTGGGATCGAGTCCCGCATCGGGCTACCTAC